TGATTGGGAATCAAACCAGTGACCTCTTGGTGCATGGGTTGACGCTCAACCACTGAGCCACAACGGCAGGACATCTTTGGCCACTTCTAAATGGATTATTTGTCTTCTTGGTGTTGAGTTGTACTAGCACTTTATATAATTTGGAAATTAACCTCTTACCAAATGTATCATTGGTGAATATGTTCTCCCATACAGTGGGATCCCTTTTCATTTTGTTGGTTTCTTTTGCTGTGTAGAAGCTTTTTAGTTTGATGTAGTCCCATTTGTTTAATTTTTCCTTTATTTCTTTTGTCCTTAGAGACACACTGTCAAAACACATTGCTATAAGAGATGTCTGAGATTTTACTGCCTATGTTTTCTTCCATAATTTTTATGGCTTCATAACAAACATTTAAGTCTTTTATCCATTTTGAGTTTATTCTTGTGTATGGTGTTAGTTGGAGGTCTAGTTTCATTATTTTGCAAGTAGCTGTCCAATTTAACAACACTATTTATTGAAGAGACTGTCTACTCCATTGTATGCTCTTGACTTTGTCAAATATTAATTGAGTATAATGGATTGGATCAAGTATAATTTCTGGGTTCTCTCTTCTGTTCCATTGATCTATATGCCTGTTCTTGAGCCAACACCAGGTTGTTTTGATTACAATGACTTTGTAGTATAATTTGATATCTGGTATTGAGATCCCTCCGACTTTGTTATTCTTTCTCAAGACTGCTCAGGCTATTCGGGGTCTTTTTGGTTCCATATAAATTTTTGGAATATTTGTTCTAGATATGTGAAATATGCCATAGGTATTTTAAGAGGAATTACATTCAATCTATAGATTGCTTTGGGTAGTATGGACAATTTAATGAGGTTAATTCTTCCAATCTATGAACAAGGTATATGCTTCCACTTACTTGTACCTTCCTCAATTTCTTTCTTCAATGCCCTATAGTTTTCTGGGTACAGGTCTTTTACTTCCTTGGTTAAATTTATTCCCAGGCACCTTAATTTTTTTGGTTGCAATAGTAAATGGGATTGTTTTCTTAGTTTCTTTCCGATAGTTCATTATTGGTACACAGAAATGCCACCGATATCTGAATGATTTTGTATCCTACTTTGCCGAATCCATTTATTGAATCTAGTAGTAGCTTTTTGGTGGAGTCTTTAAGGATTTCTATGAACAATGTCATGTCACCTGTGAATAATGACAGTTTTACTTCTTCCTTTCCAATTTGGATGCCTTTTATTTTTTTCTTGTCTGCTCACTGTGGCTAGGACTTCCAGTACTATGATGAATAAGAATGGTGAAAGTGGACATTCCTGTTTTATTCCTGATCTTAAGAAAAACACTTTTAGCATGATGTTGGCTATGGGTTTGCCATACGTGGCCTTTATTACATTGAAATATATTCCCTCTAGTCCCAGTTTGCTAAGAGTTTTTATCATAAATGGGTGAATTTTATCAAATGCTTTTTCTGCATCTATTGATATGATCATGTAGTTTTTATCTTTCATCTCGTTTATGTGATGTATCATGTTTATTGATTTGCAAATATTGTAGCAGAGGCATTCTTTATGAAATAATATAATCTGATTTCCAAAGTTATTTGGCTAAGCAAACAAACAAAATGCAGAACACCTAAGATAGAGTGGTTCTGAAAAAACACACGAGACTTATACAGGGTAGGGCCAAAGCACGTTTACAGCTGTGAGTATGCGAGACACAGTTTATTCTTGTATTATTATTACTTACTAATTATTGTTATTATTTCCCATACAAACAACTGTAAGCCTACTTTTGCCCACCCTGTATAACATGAGTTTGGAGAAAAGGAACTTAGTGGGCAGACAACAGAAACGGAAAGAGATGCTGAAGGACAATCCTTGAGGCTTGATTCCATAAGGTTCCTGTTTCTAGCCACTAGACTGGGGAAAATTTTTCATTGCCTTAAGGAAACATTAAGTGCAACTAACTTTAGAAAGCTTCCATATCTACTTCCAAGTGAACTTTTCAGTCAGTGTAATAATTTCTGCACCTAAAGAGACACACTGAAGTCCAGGCAGCCAAAGGGTGTGGTAGGGAACAGTTGTCCGTACAAGGGTCATTTGGGTGCTGGGAAGGGACAGCCCTCACTGGCAGGTGATGGTGGTTAGTTAGCAAGATGAACAAAGATGCACAGATGAGAGCAGCAATTAACAAGTTGATAGAAACTGGAGAAAGATAATTCCTCAAAGAGTCACTGAGAGCTAAATTAACTGAATGTGGCTGAAAGGATGGATAGAAGGCACACTGTAAAGAAATAATTTTAAAAAGGATTAGAACATGTTGCTGAGCTTTATGTATTCCTACTTCTTTTGAAACAACTTACATTTCTCTGCTTTCTTCCTCTACACAAGCCCTTGAGGTTCACATGCAAGACTGAGGCTGCTCCCCACAGAACTCTAGAGGCATCAGCCTGGCCATGAAAGCCACTGTGGTTTGGTCCCCTCTTCCATCTTACTGCCAAGGCACCACACCACCACCACGCTGGGCCACATCTAATTTGGCCAAGATCATGAGGAAAATAAATACTGAAGGGGTAAGGCAAAGAGCATAATTTGTTGACCTTGCTCAGATTCAGTCTAAAATTCACAGTAACTAAAATAATTTAGGAGAACATAAGGGATAAGCCTGCAATCTTCACAATCATCAAATGTAGTAAAAAACAGGTGACAGCATTCACAAAATCTGAAGAACACACCATCTATTTTATAATGTATGAATTCAAACTTCAATCTCATTCTAATGGGCTACTGCTAGGGAAATAAAACTATTTTAAAGAAAAAATTGTACACAGAATAAATGTGTAAGTTTCCTGGTGATTCTCACTAAGGCTTCAATGCATTTTCTTATTGAAACAATCACACACACTCTTAGCAAAAAGATTTGATTCTGGTGTCAGAACAATGTATGAATTGAAACTATAAGGCAAAAATTCTTTTTAAAGCAGATATATCACTTCTTATTTTTCTTATTTTGAAAAGAAGCTGTTTCATTCAGCAATAATTCTTCTCTCATTCTATCAGAGAATTTGTACTAAAGCAATATTTCACCTAAAATCAGTTCTGAAGGCTTTCTCATGAATACGAATAATGCAAAGATGCCAATTAAATTTCCAACAAAGCACTGCCATTTGAGTAAACAAAATTATCTCAGTAGGGTTACATTATCTGCAAAAATTACAGCCTACAAATTAATTACTAGTGTGAAATATGTCAAGACAAATTTTTAAAAGAACAGAATGTAGTTGTAACCATGTGTTTTATGTTTATTTGAATGCAAAACCAGTATTCTCTAGCATATTAATATATCCATTTATTCAGCACCTCTCAGAAAAATGGAAAAGGTTCACTGACTCCCCCTCCTCTCCCCTGCACCCAGGTTAAATCTGAGTAACTCATGTTTAGTAAGTCAGAATATAAGTACAGAATGAAGACAGACTGCAGCTGATATTTTTGAAAGGCAGAAAGAATTCATCTTCACACAAATGACTAATTCTGAAACATTCAGTTTACCTTTGAAAGAAGTTTTTCAAAGACATACATCACTTACACCACACTACACTAAAGGTCATTACCGTGTGCAAATCAAAGCTTTAAATAACAGTGCAGCTGTTTCATAAAGAAAACTAATCTATAGCAGCGATTTTCAACCCATGTGCCGCAAGAATTTTTAAAACATGCAATACCTGACTATTCTGGGGCACTGCCCTCTCTTCCCTTAGATTGTCTAATAAAACAAGGACAATGGTCAACATAACAATAGCTGTCCAGTGTGAATGAATCAAAATTATACCTGTTTTTTTTGGGGGGTAGATAAGCAAAAAATGCATTTTTGGTGTGTCACAGAATTTTAGTAATTAGTTTATGTGTGCCATGAGATAAAAAAGGTTGAAAATCACTACCTGTATTATAAAACAAATAAATAAACAGAAAAACTACCTGGGAATAAAATTAAGGATTTCAAGGAATTTCAATATTCTGTTGATGATGACAATATTTATTTAAATCAAAAGCATTTTCATGAGTGAAAATGTTCTAGCATCTAAGGAACACCAAATAGATAGCAAGAATATGGAGCAGAGGTACCCAGATGCTCTTCTGTTTTCTTTAATAGAAAAGTATGTCCTAATCCTTTTCACAGTTATACATATATTGAGTCATTATGTTGCACACTTTAAACACATTATAATTTTGTCAATTATATCTTAATAAAGCTGAGGGGGAAACCCTAGGACTGAAACTCATTTAAAAGAAAAAAGCCTGGCTGGTGTGGCTCAGTGGTTGAGCGTCCACCCATGCACCAATAGGTTACCAGTTCGATTCTCAGTCAGGGCACATGCTCAGGTTGTGGCCAAATCCCTAGTGGGAGGCATGCAGGAGGCAGCCATGCATGAGAGAGATGTTCTCTCTCATCAATGTTTATCTCTCTCTCTCCCTCCCTCTCTAAAAGAAAAAAAGGAGGGGGAGATTTCAGGGTCAGGAGGCACAGGAGGCGAAATGGCTTGTGGGCCAGGGCTCCAGGCCAGACTGCACACCCTACCTCATCAGACTCTTACCAGGAAAACCAGCTAACTGCATGACACAGACATTTCAGACACCTGTCTCTCAGAGTGGTTCTTTCATGACCAATTCCTCATAAATCCAGTGTGTTAGAGTGATTAAGTTAATATCTTAGCCTCTGTACTTATTTTCCAATAGTCCAGCTATGACACACTTACTACTACTATAGCATCACAATGAAACTACAAGGGCGGGTGTTCCAACCACTGGAATTTCTTGTTCAGCAAACCAATTCATTTGACTGATTTATTAGATGTAAAAACCAAGACAAGACTAAAGAGTGTTTTAAAAAGTGATAATTTCCCTTTTTGATTTTTAAACCAGTTTCTCCAAATAAATTTACTGAATAAAGCAGACTGGTTTTTTGTTTTTTTTTTTGTACTTCAATACTGGAAATTAAGTTAGTTACCTCTCTTAAAACTGTGCTTTTGTAGCCTCGATACAATCCTCGGATGCCCTGAAACAAACAAAAGGCAAGAAAACAGCAAAATTTCAGAATGACATTCTGAGTCAAGCACAGTCACCTTTCCTCAAGTTTGAGTTTTAAAACATTCACAATGACCATGGTGTGTAAGAAGTTAAAGGTTCTAACTGGTCAGCTCCCTTGAGAATGGAAACATCTCTAATAATAAAACTGACTACGCATTAATTTAGCATTAGTCGCTTTCGATATTTTTTCTCCTGAGAAGATTTGAGATGCTTTAAATATATTTCCAAAAACAAGTTCTCACAGAATGCTGATTGTCTTTTCCTATGAGAACAAAATTATATCTCATAGTTTCCATCAGAAGACATTAGAAATTCATTGATAACCTCTCAACAGTGATAAAAACCTCTGGACAAGGCCTGGCTTGTCTATTTCACTGTCCACATGATTCTTCAGGTACCCTCTACTGCAGCGGTTCTCAACCTGTGGGTCGCAACCCCTTTGAGGGTCGAAAGACCCTTTCACAGGGGTTGCCTAAGACCGTCGGAAAACACATATTTCTGATTTATAATAGTAGCAAAATTACAGTTATGAAATAGCAACAAAAATAATTTTATGGTTGGGGTCACCACAACATAAGGAATTGTATTAAAGGCTCATGGCATTAGGAAGGTTGGGAACCACTGCTCTACTGGGTTGTTCTCACTCATACAATAAAAGATTCAGCATCTCCTCACTGAGGTGACAGGGACAATTAAGAATAACTTTTCTAAAACCTAGACTCATTGAAATTTCAATGTGACTGGCTTTGGTAAAAAATAATTTTTTTTCATTTTTTGAAAGGCTTCTGAAAAACTATGAAGGAAAGCAGCTCAATAGTTCCTAGTCACATGGCCAGCGGGAATGATTTCCGACCCACAGAGTGACACTCACCAGTAAAAGGAGAACCGCACTTGGATGTGAACATTATGATGCTGGTGACTAGCATCAGCCCATTACTAGACTTCTCTTCCATGAGCCCTAGATTCTGTAGTGGTCTTTAGTGTATCTTCATCCACTGTACATATTTACTGTTTATTCCATGTCTGATTCCAGAACTGTGGGATGATTACAATTTGGACACACACGGTAGTGGCACTCAGTGTGTGTTTGTTCAGGAATTTTAAAGAGAAACAAAAGTAAAAATTCAAAACAAACAAAGTAAAGACAATAATCTTAGCAGAGTTGTTGAGACTGGACATTACACTTAGCTTTCAGAGGTCTTCTAGGACTCCTGACATGAGACTCACAGTGCCCTTAATAGCTGCTATGAAATCTTTCTCAATAAAAAACAAAGAAAGAACGTAAAAACACATCTCACCTCTTGATATAAGATGTTAGAGAAAATTTGAAATGTTCTCGAAGCAGCAGAAACCTGTGCCCTCTGTTTAACTACCTCAGAAGGAACTCGAATCAGGCAGGCAACCTAAAATATATAAATTTAAGCACATCCTAAAAAAGAAGTAATTGCTATAAAAATTGAAATTTTTTCATAAGCAAAAATTATAGTATAAGAAAGTATAATGTACAGGTTTAGTGCAAGATGTCAAGATTTTAGCCTAGTGTTTCTTTGAGCTGAAAACACTTAGAACCCTTAGTGGACATGCATTGTTTTATCAGCCCAAAACCTTCCCTCCTTTGTCTGCACAGACCCTCCCACCTCCCGCCACACTGCTCCAAGCACATCTGTCTACAAGAGCAGAAGAGCTAGAAGCACATTTACTTGTGCTGAACCCCCGATACCCACTAAACAGCATCTGGTGTTCACACAACAGCTATTTCAAACATGTCTGGCCCTGGTCGGTTTGGCTCAGCGGTTAGAGTGTCGGCCCGCGGAACAGAGGGTTTGGTTCCCGCTAAGGGCATGTACCTTCGGTTGCAGTTTGTCCCCAGCCCCGCTGGGGTTGTGTGGGTGGAAGCCACTTGATGTGTCTTTCTCATGTCGATGTTTCTCTCTCTCTCCCTCCCTGTCTCCCTCCCGCTCTATCTGAATATAAATGCAAAAAAAAGTCCTCAGGTGAGGATAAAAAATAAAAAAAACATATCTGGCGAAAGAATGAACCAATCAATGGTGCCTTTGCTTTCCTGGAAGTGATGCACACATTGGTGGAGGCAAGACTGCTCATCAGTGGATCACCCGAACCTCCCATCTCACCCTCTGCAGCCTCAACCAGCTCCCAAGCTCAGCACCCCAGATCTCCCCACCACACAACTGAGAAGCAATACCAGGCACCCTCATCAGACCCTGCTCCAGCATCTGAGGTGACACTGGCTCTGGCTGGGCCATACTCACACCCAACTGATATTACCAGCACCCTTCATGCAATGCCAGGGAGAGGAATGGGCCACCTCTCACAAACACCTGTCACACAACTGGCTTCCTCCCTTTGTTTTCTTTGATGCCCCCCAGCAGTGTCCACTTGCACGTGTGACATGGCCACCCCCTGAGAACCACTAAGAATATGTAGATCTGGCAAAGGGCTAGGGACACTGCCACCCAAACCAAATCACCCTTCTGTTGGTAAGTGAAAAGGGGAAGGCAACTTAACAGTGTCGGTCAACCTCCTCGCAAAGAAAATCTTTTTTCCATAGTTAACCAAGACCGATTTCGACTGCAAGCAACCAAGAACTGTACTTGATATTCAAGGGGGACAGAACTACCAAATGGCGATTTGCAGAGCAATGGGTCAAGAGTTCAAGCATGTTAACACATGAGGGTTAACAGAATTTGCTAGAATTGTTTCAGTGGAGGGCTGGGGAAAGAGACCCACGGCAGAGAATCCATAAGTAATTTCGAGATAGAGACAGGCAAATGGAGACTGCTACCACAGGAGGGGGCTAATGCGTCAAGGGACTGGTTCATAGTAAAAAGCAGTCCCTTGTCTTGTTCCAAGATGCTGAATGTCTGCACATGGATAGGGAAAATGACAACAGCAGGCAGAGGCCAAAAATCTAGGGGAGAGATGGGTGATATATGAAGACCTAGAGGCCACGACAGAAGGTAGAATCAGGGTACCCAGCACATGCCCACACTGCTGTGACTATCTCCCTTTGCCCAAGCTGGCCCTCGGCCAAGGGTGCCATTTCCTGCATCTGAACTGGACCTGTTCTTTAGGGCTCGGGTCCAGGAGAGATGAGCAGTGTCCTGGCTAAGTGTCTGCAGACCTCGACTGTGGTCCCAGCTCTGAAAGAGAACTCTCAAGCATCCCCTTTGCCTTCCTGGGTCTAATTTTTCTTACTTGACTTGGTCTAGAAATCTTTATGGTATCCTTTTAAGTCTTAACTTCTATAACTCTTAATTTCTCCAATCATACCTTTACTTCTTAAGTTCAAAAGATTCCTTTTTTATTCTCTAAACTATTTCCTCATTATTTCCCAAAATAAACTATCTTACCTGACATATTTTACTTATTAACTTATATCACATAGTTTTCCAAGTACATTTTCTCTTCTAAACCACAAACACCATGAGGACAAGAAGAAAACAGGCATCATCAACTGTACTAAACCATTGGGGGGTGGGGGGGGTCCCTCTACCGTATTTGCCCCAGCTTTATTTAGGTATAATTGACATATAAAACTATATCCACCATTTTTGTATTATTTGATGTAGAAAGCAATTGAAACTGCCCAAGAGAAAGAATAACACCAAAAATCAATCATTGCCACAGAAATGACCTTACGATACTCCAGAATTTTTTTCCACGTTTTTATTTATTTATTTTTGTTACAGATGTTTCTCCTTTTTCCCCCAATGACACCCTCCTCCCCCTCCCTCCCTGCCCTGTCCCCAGATTTGCTGTCCATGTCCATTGGTTATGCATACATTCATATAAGTTCTGTGGTTTATCACTCTCCCCACCCCACCCCCCACCTCCTTTTCTGGGGTTTGTCAGTCTGTACCCTACTTCCACATCTCGGGGATTACCTTGATATTCAGACTGTTATGTTCATTATATTCCACAAATAAGTGAGATCATACGATATTAGTCTTTCTCTGCTTGGCTTGTTTCACGTAGGATAACGCTTTCCAGGTCCCTCCATGTCGTCTCAAAGGACAAGAGATCTTTCTTTCTAACAGCTGCATAATATTCCATTGTGTATATGACACAACTTTTTTATCCATTTGTCTACTGATGGACACTTGGGCTGTTTTCAGATCTTAGGTATTGTGAATAGTACTCTTATGAACATGAGGTACATATATTCTTTCTGATTGGTGTTTCAGGCTTCTTAGAAGTGGGATCACTGGGTCAAAAGGCAATTCAATTCTTAATTTTTTGAGGTAACACCATATTATTTTCTATAGTGGCTGCACCAGTCTGCATTCCCACCAGCAGTCTACTACAGTCCCCTTTTCTCCACATTCTCGCCAACACTTGTTATTTGATGCTTTGTTGATGGCGGCCATTCTGACAGGTGTGAACTGATACCTCATTGTTATTTTAATTTGCATCTCTCTGATGATTAGTAAAGTTGAGCATTTCTTCATACATCTCTTGGCCACTTGTATGTCCTGCTTGGACAGATGTCCATTTAGTTCCTCTGCCCATTTTTTAAATTAGGTTCTTTGTATTCTTTTGTTGAGTTTTATGAGTACTCTATATATTTTGGATATTAACCCCTTATCTGATATATCATTGGCAATTATGCTCTCCCATACAGTGGGTTGCCTTTTTATTTTGATGGTTGTTTCTTTTGTTGTGCAGAAGCTTTTCAGTTTGATGTAGTCCAATGTGTTCATTTTTTCCTTTGTTTCTGTTGCCTTTCGCAATGTATAAGTGAAAATTCTGTTGCGTATGACGTCTGGAATTTTGTTGCCTACATTTTCTTCTAGGATTTTTATGGAGTCACATTTAAGTCTTTTATCCATTTTGAGTTTATTTTTGTGTATGGTGTAAGTTGATGGTCTAGTTTCTTTTTTTGCATGTAGCTGTCCAATTTTCCCAACACCATTTATTAAAGAGGCTGTCTTTACTCCACTAGATGCCCATGCCACCTTTGTCAAATATTAATTGAGCATAATGTTTTGGGTCAAGTTCTGGGTTCTCCATTCTATTCCATTTATCTATGTGCCTGTTCTTGTGCCAGTACCAGGCTGTTTTGATTACAGCAGCTTTGTGGTATAACCTGGTATCCGGTACTGTGATCCTGCCTACTTTGTCCTTCTTTTTCAAGTTTGCTGTGGCTATTGGAGGTCTTTTTTGGTTCCATATGAACTTTTGAAGTGTTTGTTCTAGTTCTGTGAAGTATGTCGTTGGTATTTTGATAAGGATTGCATTGAATCTATAGAGTGCTTTGGGTGGTATGGACATTTTAATGATGTTAATTCTTCCAATCCATGAACAGGGTATGTGCTTCCACTTTTTTATATCTTCCTCTATTTCTTTTTCAATGTCCTGTAGTTTTCAGCAAATAGGTCCTTTACTTCTTTGGTTAAGTTTATTCCTAGGTATCTTAATTTTTTTGCTGCGATGGTATATGGGACTTTTTTTGCTTTGTATATCTTTCTGTGAGTTCATTATTGGTGCATAAGAATGCCGTCAATTTCTTGACGTTAATTTTGTATCCTGCTACTTTGCCAAATTCATTTATTAAGTCTAGTAGATTTTTGATGGAATCTTTAGGGTTTTCTATGTATAATATCGTGTCATCTGTGAATAATGACAGTTTCATTTCCTCCTTTCCAATTTGGATCCCATTTATTTTTTCTTCATGTCTGATTGCTGTGGCTAAGACTTCCAGTCCTATGTTAAATAAGAGTGGCTTGTTCCTGTTCTTAAGAGAAATGCTTTTAGTTTTTGCCCATTGAGTATGGTGTTGGCTGTAGGTTTTTCATATATGGCTTTTATTATGCCGAGATATGATCCCTCTATTCCCAACTTCCTGAGCTTTTTTATCAGAAAGGGGTGTTGAATTTTGTCGAATGTTTTTTCAGCATCTATTGATATGATCATATGATTTTTATCTTTCATTTTGTTCATGTGGTATATCACATTTATTGATTTGCGAATATTGTACCAGCCTTGCATCCCTGGGATGAATCCCACATGGTCAGGGTGAATAATTTTTTTTTGATGTATTGCTGGATCTGATTTGCTAGTATTTTGTTCAGGATTTAGGCACCTATGTTCATCAGGAATAATGGCGTATAGTTTTCTTTCTTTGTAGTGTCTTTTACTGGTTTTGGAAATAAAATTATGCTGGCCTCATAAAACAAGTTTGGAAGTCTTCCTGTGTCTAGAATTTTTAGGAATAGTTTGAGGAGAACGAGTGTTAGTTCCTCCTTGATTGCTCAGTAAGACTCCCCCGTGAAGCCATCTTGGCCTGAGCTTTTCTTTGCTGAGAGAGTCTTGATTACATCTTCAATTTCTTCATTGTTATTGGTCGGTTCAAGTTTTCTACCTTTTCCCGGTTCAGTTTTGG